GTCACTGAATGGCTGTGTAACTTATGAATTATTAATGAATTTTATAGTGCTTGCTATATCACTGCATTGGGTGGTTTTCACTATGAAATAAAACCTCTTGCAATTGTCCTTGATTTTGTGCTTGCTCTTGCATTGCTATTGAGGGCTTTCAAATTTAGATCTGTGCCTTTATTCACAACAGCTGTCTCTTTGTAGAGCACTGATATAAATTTTAATTTATTAAAATCAAAAATTTATTCAGACATTTATCATAGACTTATTTTCCAAATAAATTGTTGATTAATCRTATGAGGAAGTGGCTGATCCCATTAGAGCAGAGTCACATGAACCATGAAATAAGAACTAAAAAGTACTAACTAATAGGGACTATTAGTTCCAAATAGTCGTTAGCACTGAACCAGAACAGTTGATTTGATCCAATAAGCAATACCCAAGAGACCACTTTAACAATCAAAGTAATCTCTTTGTACTGTTCTGGTTCAGTGATAGTGTCTAAATAGTGTCTATTAGTAACTAAGTATTTAGTTTCTATTTCAAGTGACTCTGCTCTAAAGAGTGCTCAATACACATTAAGTGTAGAGCTAGTTAAATAATTATATAATGGTATCAAAGAGGCAAGATTTTGTAACTCCACGTTTCGTGCTACGCACTCATCAGACAGTATTTAAATTGTTGATTATTTATATATTAATTAATATCTAACCAGAAACAAATAAATTCATTTCCAATACCTATTGTATCAATAATGGGGTTTTCACCTCATTCTAACTGTATATATCAGTTTTGATAACACAACAAAGATTTTGATTTAATGTACAAATGTAGTTGAGTTGTTTGGTACTTCCATTCAGAATGTTTGACTGCAACTGATACAAAGTATTAACCGGTACTACTGATTTGAGAGAACTCTTATCACACTCAAGAAATCAAGTCAACTTGCTGCTGGGAGATTTTACAGACAAATTTTAAATTACTAACTTTAGGAACAAGTTAAAACCAACCAAATATGTTTCAGCAACAAATGAATTAAAATGTAGCTTGAGCTAAAGTGTATTTCAGTCTTGTACATGTAGCTAAGTACATTGAAAGGGTTTCATCATCTTCCTCTTCTAACTTTCTTTTCTTCGAAGAAAATAGAGTCCTCATGAAAAGGTTGTATATTTTCAGCATACAGATCTTCTTTGATAGGATTTTCGTCATCAGGAAAATACGTTGGGAATGGAGGTGGTGTCTTGTGTTGTTTCCATGCATCACAGATCTTGAGAAATCCACCCTTGGGACCTGGACACTGACCCTGAATATACAGTACATTGTATTTCGTGTTTATTCGGTGGATCTGTAAARTATATATATAATAGACTCAACACAAATTAACWGAGATTTCAGTCAGATGGGRTCCCTTTGTAAATACATAATATTAYTGGAGGTTCATTTAAAGACCACATGCATTYGAGAATCTTTGATTTTCAAACAATCAGAAAGCAGATTTCAACAAGAGATCTTTTTTTGAAAAACAAATTAGATTGCAAACATTTTAGGATGCAAATAAGTCTTTTATCATCTAATATAATATTATTTTGCAGGTCTGGAGAAAACCAAGGATATACTGTAAAGCACACATATCTTAATATCTCGATATGATTCAGTTTTGATAATGGACCCTGGGTATCCCATAATGTTTTAAAAATAATAGAATTTATAGCTTCAATAGTTATTACTATTATTATACAAGTGAATAAGGCATGGTTGTTGTTTATACCTTGACAGCAAAGAGTGTACAATTGTTGAGACCCATGTGACCTGCCATTCTTTTACCAGGCCAAATTCTTCCAGGATCCTACAATAAAAAGCAGTTTGATGTAACAATGACTAGAAACAAATTTGCAACTCTAGCAGAACCATGATTCCATAACAAGTTACATATTAACTGKCTATTGTTTTTCTTAAAAACTTAGTACAAAAATCAGAAATATGTAAGAGTTACATACCGAGAACGGAGGCAATCAGCCTAATACATCCCGAGGGCCGTAGGCCCGAGGGATGTGTAGGCTGATTGCCGACATTCAAGGTATGTAACTGGCTTATTTCATACTTGAAGAAGTTTTCCAAGCACTGCATTAATATTTTCATTTTTAAATAGGCAAAGAAGCTGTTTTCATATGAATTAAAAACCAAACCCTCGATTAGAAAGATTACGAAATTTACAGTATTGAAAATTCCCAACGGGAATAATTTGCATAACCAATTTTCTCGTTAGTCCCATGAGACCAATGCTAACAATTCACCTTTTGTAACAAGTAACTGGACAATGTTAAATAACTGTTTTATTCCATAACTGACATCGATTAGTCACTTAGCATAACGTGTTAAGTATAGGATTTTCAAAGCTAAGGTTGTGGGTTCGAATCTACTTGGTGTCATTTGAATTTTGCTTTCTTTCTTTCGAGTTTAAAGTTTGAGACGGAAAATTTCTAAGTTGAACATAGTAGTTAATTAGGTATTCAAGGGCAATATACATTAGTATTCAAGGGCAATATATAGATATTGCCCTCAAAAGGGGGCGATATCTAGATATATCCCTGAAACTTCGATATAAAGCACTTGAATACACAACGAGCTGGGGAATAAGCGAGATACAACACTATGAATAACAAAGAAAACTGAATCAAGTATGAAATAAAGGAACGATATTAACTTACCTGACCTCCCCCTGATGCTCCCATTTTTCTGTGAGTTTTTGACTGACCGTGACTCTGTGGCTGACCTTTCATYCCCCATCTTTTCATTACACCTTGAAATCCATGGTCTTTTCTGAAATAGTTGCACAGCAAAAAATGTGTATGGAGAAAACTAATGAATTCATGATAATAATGAAGCAATGGACKAATGATTTGTGGACAGATGAAATCAGATTGCAAAAATCAAAGTGGCAAAAATCAAGCTCTCAAATGTGCGTACAGTATGTACGTATAACTTCTAAATACATTCAACTATTGACTTACGTGACACCTTGGACTTTGACAAATTGACCTGGATAAAAGTGAGCTGCATATATTGGTGTACCTTTGAGAGAATACATAATATTTACTTTCCAAATTAAAACACAGTAAGTAAATGACAATATTTCATGTGACCTGTATATGTACACACATTTTGGAAAATGATGACTTGAGTGAWAAGGACATACAAACATCAAGCAATTAGCTGTGAGTTCGCTAAGGATTTAGAAAATAATTCCCAAAAAATATTTTACCTAATTCTGTAAAATTGTGCCATTTTGTTTATAGATACTTTCAAATACCAAATGAGAAAAAAAGAAATGACATTTTCATTAAAACATTCATTGATATTTCACTTTGGTCATAGTCAATTTTCCCAAAAAAACTGGAAAAAATTTACATTGAATTCTGGAGTGGGAGAAAATTACTCAAAATTTCGAGACTCCCAGATTATCTGGGAGAGTTGACATTATATGTACCTGGTTTGAGAAGTGCATTTCTTGTGACAGGAAAACTAAAGACTTTCTTCTTAGGTTGAACACCAAATCTCTTAAAATGGCCATACTGTGCTTTACTAACCTGGATATGTAAGTAGATTTTTGTAATGGTTTGATACATCAACCACAAGTATCAATTGGATCACATGTAAGTTATACCTTATGCAGCTCGTGGTCATTTACTGCACCAACTTGTAACTCTGTTTGAGGATCTGAACCACCAAGAGATTTTGATGTTCTTGCTTGAATCACCTCACATTCTTTGATCTAAAATTGAAGGGGTGGATACAARAACGGCTTAAGTGACGATTCAGGGTATTTTTGAAATTTTTGAAAAATTGAAAAAAAATCACTTCAATCGCTTATTTTCAGTCTAGATAATCTTATTTAGCACTTATTTCCATAGTTACGGACTTCTTTGGYTTGACAACTGATCGCTAGACCGTAAAATATCCTAGATTTGCATATTCAAGCTAACATGAACTCGTGACTTTGACAGTCGGTTTGTTTTGGCTCGAAGCTGTACTGCAAGAAATCGAGAAGTGTGTTTTTTTGCGTTTTCTTTTTTTGCCTTTAGTCACTACTCTACGGACATCATTAAGTTTGTAGGTAGCGAAGGAGCTTACTTGCTGAAAGAATCCAGCTTGGCGTGTGACGACTTTTTAAGTGATTTTGCTTCCGTGGTTCATTCGATTAACTTGGACCTTCGCAGAGAATCACTTAAAAGACCCTCTAAAGGCAAATCCTTGGAGCTGCCACAGTAATTTTTGGATGTTTTGGCTATTGAGGAACACAAGCGACTTGAAATTTTGGCAGAATTCCGAGAAGGCTGTAGACTTTATATAAATTTTTATATCGGAGTAGATGGAATATCTGCTGTCGCAGCATGTAAAAAAGTCCCAGAATTCATTGTGCGCAAGAGCCTCAGGTAGCAGTGAAGAATTAAGAGTTTTACCACATTCCCAGAGGGAGGGGCTGTTGGTCAGAATTAATCTTATTTGTCTATTTGCATTGAACCATTTACATATACATGTCACAATTCTGTCTTGTATGACAAGTCAGCAAGATTTTGATCCTTTCCTCAGAACTATACTACAGGTCATGAGTTATGTGCATCAGTTGTAGGAGCATTTACATGACACAAATTGGAGATCTGTGCACAAGGGTGCATCCGAAGGGAKTGATTAGGGCCCCTTTTCAGGGTTCAGAAGTATATATTGAAAGAAGAAATTATCGTATAAATAGCTAAAAGAGAAGTTAACTCTTAGTCTAATTCTGAAAAACAAAGAAAACTGTTTTTTTTTTCTTTTTGAGCTCTCAGTTAGCCACCCCCTTGTGTATAAAGTTCTACCGCAGCCACGAGTCGTGTATGAAAATCGTATATGACAATGGCACCGTGTACATCTGTCTTAATAAGAACTAGCAAGAGATCAAATCTCACCTGCACGAGAGTGACAGGCACTCTTCGACCATCTTTCAACCACAAAGCTGACATTCCAAGTTTTATACCAATCGCTCCCACGCGCTTTGACCCACTTGTCCAAGCCACTTTGCTGGGATCAACTTTGATACGTTTATTTCTTTGTCGCCGTCCTTGTCTCTTCAACTCTAGTTCAAGATCTTCTCTAGATAAAATATTCAAGTCTTCTTTCCCCTCAGTCAATAAATTTTCGTTACTTGCGAATACTTCGAATAGATTTCTGGGTGCAAATGGAGCAGCGGTTGAAGACTCTGTTATTTTTCCAGTATAGGAATTGTTTTTCTCAGAGCTGAAATATCTGCTACAGAGTGAAAGCGAACGGCACACATTCGGGTTTCTTATGAGGAGGGCACACCAAGAATGATTGCTTAAAATGTTAAATGAAGTTAGCTTTGCACGAACCATTGTGGTGGCCGCCATTTTGAGGGTCGGCAATTTATCCCGGGCGCTTGTAGACCCCCTCCCGCAATACAAATTTAGGGATGTCAGCGGCACTGCTATATGACGTAATACAAGTCACGCTCTCTTTGTCACGCAAACTCGATTTAAACGGGCTAGTTGTAATCGATGAAAAAAAAGACTGAAAAATAAGTAAAAAACAAATATATAGAAGCCAAAGTGGCGTGATGAAAGTATTTACTACATTAAAACATACTGCCAAGAGCTTTAATTTTTACCTCCTTAACCCTAACGAAAATATATACGTATATTGTGTATACCAAAAAATAAGTCTTTSAACTTCCTTACCTGACTTGGAATATCGTTTGTGGCCTTTGTCCTTATCATGACCCTGAGCTTTTACAAAGCACGTGGAAGTCARATTTGCATATTCTTCCAAAAATGTTTCCTTTCTAATCTCGCTCCCTTCTATATATCCATAACAAAATTTTTGTTCTTCGTGGAAGCTTRATAGATTGCTTTGTAAAAAACTGATTTCTTTCTTTCGAACACTCTGACTGTCAACCATTCTTGCTGTGACATAAATTTGCTCGAATGAAGCGTGACAAAAAAGCGTGACTTGTACGGAAATACCGCTGGCATAATATTTAGTAATAGCTGGTATTATAAATTATAATAGAATTAAGTTTTAAAGGTGTTTTGTATGGAATATATATATAAAAAAACACTTTGTATGTATTTCCTTTTATATATTCTTTGTTTCGTGGTATTGCCAATTTATAATACCRTCTTATATCAGTTACCATTATTTTTTCAAGTCAAATAATATATAATATTTTTCGTTAAATTTGTTTATACAAATTATGATTATTTACAACGATTACATCTACATTTGTTTCATAATCGACTTTGCGTGATGAAATAGAGCGCGATTTATAATACGTCACAGGTTTAGGATATTACGTCATATGGCAGTGCCGCTGACATCCCTAAATTTGTATTGCGGGAGGGGGTCTACAAGCGCCCGGGATAAATTGCCGACCCATTTTGAGGAATACAGTCTTATTCCCAGTCTTCTCTCTGCACAGGTAGCCCAAGCTATGCATTTGTGTACTTTTTAGAAGTATTTAAAATATAATAAAAATAAAATCTCTACCTGTGTATTGTGTTTTTCTTTACATTTCTGTGAAGTTTCAGGCCATTTC